TTGTGTCTCCTTATGGAAGAGGCTATTAATTGCAGCGTTAGGAAGTGATACTCAAAACACCTGCCTTATCCCTACCCAGAGCCTAAGCTGCAACAACAGAATCTCCCTGGCCGGGGCTTGAACACCTACAGTAGATCTTAATAACAAGAACAAATGCATCAGGGTAAGGCTCCATTCTCAAAAGCAAAGAACAACCGTGGCTTGTGGTCTTGTTTCAACTATAGACCTTCTGAGAGCTGCATCTAGGCTCAAATTGCCTTAGAGTTTAAAGCTGACATGAGATTACAGGACCCCCAAACCTGTCTGCTCTACATAGGTTCCTCTAACTGCCACATCAAGACAAAACATTTAAGACCTTTAATACAGAAAAGACAAAGAATATAGTTTCTAAATTAAACACCCAAAGTTACCCATCCCCTCATGGGTAAAAGTCTACCCAAAGGGAATTGGCCCAAAGCAAGGCCTGAAAGCCTTCCACAAGTCTAAAGCACATTCCAGTGGGGACCCATAGAAAAGGGTCAGAAATGGCCAGACAAGTCTGGGAGGAAAAAAGCAAAATCAAAATCAAGATAAACACTGCCATAGTCACCTCCCCACAGGTATTTCTCCCACACCTGATTCAACCAGTCCAGGACCAATAAACAAGAGCCACTTCTTCACATCTCTCTGTTCTATGTGCCTCCTTCACTCCCTCAGGTCTCCTTCTGGCTCTGCATCCTGCTTCCTTCTTCTTCAGTCTCTTCTCAGATGCTTCTGCTGCTGCTCAGCTCCACTGTCTTTTGGGTGAGACAGGGAACCTGGAACCTTCCCTTTTCCTGGGGCCAACCTGTTACCATAGTGCTGAGACTTATCCCCTAGGCCACCAGGGAGCCCATAATTTATATATATATCTATATATACATATATATAGATATATATATATTTCTTTTTAAGATGTATTTATTTATTCATACAGAACTGGGGTATAGGCCAGAGATGCAGGGGCAGTGAGAGGATTCACCAGAGACAGAACAGGGAGCAGAACAGGCAGATCTATGAAGTGCACTGCTGAGGAGAGCAGCAGGCGGGTCAGAAGGGTCTGCCTCGCCATGTGGATCACCTCCCGGCTATGTGGATCACCTCCCCGGCTGGCAGGGATCGAATTCATGCTGAAGTGGCTTTAGCTTCCTAGTGCTCTGCTTTAACCTGCTGTGCCACCAGGGAGGGCTGGGAGCCCATAATTTTAGTGGAAGAAAACTACCTCTGCAGCATCTCCCCCATCACATGAAGGTGCTCAGTCTTACAAGTGGCAAAAACAAATTTAAAAATAATTTCTCCAGTCATGGTATTATTATTTACTGATGTGAATTTCAGACCAGTACGGGGAAGGAAGTTATTTTGAATACATAGAGGAAGCAGAGGATGACAACAACTTTGTTCTTATTTAATTTATGCTTCTTAGAAATATGGAGAAGAGTAGGGAGGATTTGCAAAGCTGGTTTTTCTGCACTTTTAGCTCAGAACACAAAGGAGTAGAACAAGCTTGATCTTGAAAGGAACCCAGGTTAAACATTAAATGAAAATGCAGGCATTTTCCTGTTGATCTGGGGAGTTAAAAATGAGGAGAGCCCCATAATGGTAGTGGAAAGAGAAGCAGTTTATCTTTGCAATAAAATGAAAACTGTGTAAAAGTAGACAAAATTGTCAAAACCAACCATTCAGAGTACTGGAAGTTGACCAACCATAGCTAGCAAGTTGAAGCTGTTGTGACCGTTAAATTAGCATTTGTTAAACAGAGTTCTGAGATGTCAGATGGTGACCTCCTCAGTTCAAAAAAAGATTACAAGAGAACTGAAAGAGAAATTTACTACTCACAGGTCCTAGATGAGGCTGATAACATGCCCCTGAGGGAGATCAATTCAGAAGAAAAGATTAGGTATTTGGGGTTGGTAGGTTTTGTGGAGGTCTAATGAGGGGGCGGAGCCATAGTTGCAAGGGAGACTGCTCTATCACAAACGTCATAGGCAAATCACATCAGGAACATGCATTTACTTGTGACTTCACAGAGGGTATATGAAAAATCTGTAACTTCCCCTCAATTTTTGCTATAGATTTAACACTCTTTAAAAATGAAGTCTTTAAAGAAAAAACACCCGTTAGAAACAAATAACAAACGGCAGGTTAAAGTTAACCCACATCAACAACTAATATATTAAATATGGACAGAATAAACCAATTTTTAAGACAGAAATTATCAGCCATGCAGGTGCCTCTCTGGTAGTGGAAGGTGTTAAAGCACAGCACTATGAGTTCAATCCCTGGCCAGGGAGATGACCTCTCCTATCTCTCCAGCTGCTCCTATCAGCAGTATATTTCAGTAGATCCACCTGTTCTGCCATTCTGTCTCTGGTGAATTCTGTGACCTCTCCTCACCCCTGCGCCTCTGGCCTATACCCCAGTTCTTGTATGCATAAATATTTTTTTAAAAAAGAATCCTACACAAAGTACTCTAAAAAAAGTCAGTCATGCAAATTCTCAAAGAATCTGCCTTCTGTGCATAATCGAGGTAATACTAGAAGCACATTAATGAAAGTAAATCAAGAGATATAAATGACACCCAATAAATAGGGGCTATCAATTAGCAGGAAAAAAGCAAAGGGAGTTTGCAAGATTATCATCTAGGATGACAGACAACCAGTCCAGTTCTGGAGCAGAATTGAAGTCCTAGAAGAGAAGGCTCTAGGAATAAAATGGAACTGATGTGTTTGACATATCAGAATGTCCAGACATTAATTTGACAGACATCTGACAGCTCTGTTAGCTTTTTTGTGGAAAAACACATGACTGCGTGTATGGCACTCTAAACAAACAAACAAACAAAAAAAACAAGGCAACTACTGATTCAGAATAAAATAAAAATGCTGAAAAAATAACCCATAACATGGATCAGTATTCATTCAACCAATGAATATAAGAGCTTACTCCGTCAGACCTTGTAGGTGCCATTTGTGGAAGGCCTTGAAGCTCCACTGTTATTGCCTTTGCTCTTTGGTCAAAGATCAGTTCCTGTATTTACATGGGTGTAATTTTGGGCTCCACTGTGTCTCATCGATTTGTCTACTTGTTGGCCAGCACTATACTCAGCCTCTTGACTACTGTAACTTTATAGTAATGATACTGAAATGCCAGGTTTTCAGACCTAGTCTCACATCCAGGAACGGATCCCAGGCTGCAGTGGTAGTGCTGAGTCCCGGCCATTAGACCACAGGCTGGTGTCTCATGAAGCTGCAGCAGGAACTTTACAGACTCTCAGGGAAGCAAGTGAAGAGGCAAATTGGTTTAGAGAAAGAAAATGGGTTTATTGAGGAGAAAGGGAGCAGAAATAAAGTGGGATTCTTGGGCTGATGGAACCAGGCCAATTAGGGACAGGGAAGCTAAACTGAAGTGGTGCCTCAGAGAATATAGAGCTTCTTTCCCCAGTTATTCTAAAGCTCCACCAGTCTCTTTGTGATTAGTCAGTTCTCCAGTGGCCTCACTAACTGCCTCAATGTCTCTTAGACCAGAACGAAGTCTGTGAGTCCCAGCCCTTATCATAAGAGTCCTTTTTCTTTATTATCCTTGTTCTGGATGGTTCTGTTGGCGCTAGTCCTGGAGTGTTTGATTAGTCCCCTTTGGAATTTGTTGTTCATATCTCTGGAGCCTCCCTTAACTCTTAAGACCCTGAAGCTGCCTAATTACCCCTAACTTGCCTTAAGATTAAGTTTGGAAGTCAGATAGCATCAGCCCTCCAGCTTTGCTGTTCCACTTCACTATCATGTTAGGTATTCTGGGTCTTTATTCCCTCCATATAAACTCAGAATTAATTTGTCAAGTTCTATTAAATAATCTGCTGGGATTTTATTTTTTTTTAGTATTTACTTTGTAGAACTGGGGTATAGGCCAGAGGTACAGGGGTGAGAGGATTCACTAGAGACAGAGTGGGGAGCAGAACAGGCAGATTGACTGAAACACATTGCTAAGGGGAGTAGAGGGACAGACAGAAGTCTGCTGTGTTATATGGGTTAGCTCCCTGGCCAGGGATTGAACCCAGCCAAAACAGTGAGAGCTGAAATTTAACCCCTAGATGACCAGGGAGGCCTTTGCTGGGATTTTAATTGCAACTCCCTGATTACCAAGGTGGGACCAGGAGTACAAACTATCAGTCCTTCAGGGTCCTAGGTGGTATCTTCTAGATCATCAACTGCTATTTTTTTCTTCTACTGTATGTATTCTTTATTAATCTTTCTGAATAAATTCTAAGATTCATAAATTTGACCCTATAATCTCATGCTACTATAAATTGGATGAAAGCAAATCATGCCTAAAATCTTTTATGGAATAATGTTTTATACATTTTGACTTTTATCAAATTTCAATCACATTGATCATATTCATTTGTAATAGAGGTCTACATCAAAATTATTCAAATTGAATAAAATGTGGTATTACGTTTTTTGCATACCTTTAATTACAGCGAGATCTATCTGTTATTGTCTGTTCATGTTTTTGCCCATTTTTCCACTGTCATTTTCTTAGTAATCTGTAAAGGCTCTCCAATGTGATTAATAGCCATATATCATAGTTGCTAAGAATATTATCCTGATTTGGTGTTTGCTTGTTTATGGTTGGTTTTAATATATAAAACGCACTTAAAGAAATAGTTTTCTTTTATGGTGCCTTTTAGTTTTATGTTTAAGAAAGCTTTTCTACCCTATATAACCAGTAAAAATATTTACCTGTCCTGTTTTCCCCATTTTGTTTTAATCTTTGTTTTTAGGGCCTCAGGGCCAATATTATTCTAGGCATACAATTCACTTAGCAGACAAGACTTCAGTGATACTATATAAAAGCTTATTTTAGGAGAATGAATGGATCCTTCCTAATATGGCTTTCAGCCTGGACTCATGTTTTGTGTTTCCTGCCAAATACCCACTTATGTTTTTTATATGAAGTCACCTAACAATTATCCCCTAATTTTTCAGGTTGTCCTAAAACCCTAATGGCGAACTTCAAAGGCCATGCTCTCCCAGGGAGTTTCTTCTTGATAGTTGGACTGTGGTGGTCAGTGAAGTACCCATTAAAGTACTATCACCAAAAAGGAAAACACAGCCAACTGACTTATTATTATCGACGTCTGGAGATCACTGAAGCTGCTGTCAGAACTTTGTTTTCAGTCATTGGTAAGACCAAGGGTCTCTCAGCATAAATCTTCCCATTATACCCAGACTGAAAAAGCCAAGCATCCTACATGAGAGGGAGTTTCCTTTACTGTGTATCCCATTCTAAGAAAGCCCACCCACCACTACTGTTACTGTTACTTAACATCCTACTTGTGGTGTTAAGGAGCACGCAGTGCCAACGGCAAAAGGTCATCATCCTTTACTACTGGTAAAGGGTCAGCATCGTGAGAGTAAAGAGGTGCCTTACTCTGCTGTCGCATTTGCCCCTTGCCATCTCTGCACGACCGTTTCTCGGAAGTAAATGACACAAAGCCAGTAGCTTCTAAGCAAAGGCATAAGGCTCGTTTTTCCATGTCCAGCAGTTTTCCCACTCACCAGCTACTCAGGCCATCGAAAGGCATTCTCATCTCTATAGCCTTTCGAAGTCACAGGGACCAAGTCTTAACTGTTAAGGACAACATCAACTTACCTAAATAAAGCAAGAAACATTGTTACACCTCCCACCCTTTACTGAGTGAAAATTATGATCGAAAATCATTTCTTGGGCCTCCCTATTGGCACAAATGTTAAGTCTCAGCACTGTGAAACTGTCCACAGCCACTGCAGCAGCAGTTCAATCCCAGGCCAAGGAGCCCCCCACATAGTGCAGCAGACCTCTCCTGTATTGCCCGCTGCTCCCCTCAGCAGTGTATTTCAGTACATCTGCCTGTTCTGCTCCCCACTGTCTCTGGTGAACCCTCTTACCTCCAGCATCTCTGGTCTGTACCCCAGTATTTTTTTTTTTTTTAAAGAATGTTTTGGGCGCCAGACATCTCTCTTGCCTTCCAGAAGAACTAGTGAAAGTGCAAGGCAAGATCTGAGAGCCACTCTGTGGCAGTGCGTCATCAGTTAGAAACACCAGGTGAGGGGTTTTCACCCTTTTGTCCCAGTGCTTAGGACACAGGGACCTAAAACTGTGGAGCCTGTTCTGTGCCCAGGAAAAGGCGCACTGTCTGCCCTGAAACACACCTGGGAGCCGCTGCTCTCCCTTAGGGCTGCATAAGCACCTCCATCACAGTCTCTCTCTGCTCTGATTCTTTCGAGTTCTTCCTTCCTGGGGTTTCTGTCACTGCTCACTTGGCAAAGGCAAGCCAAACATCAAGGTAGCAGCCGCACTCTCACTTAAGTGGCAATGCCTTGCTTTCACTTCAGCTACTGCACATATTTGCTGGAATCCTGTCTATTGCTAGCCCTCCCTCCCCCAAAAGAACAGAAGCAAGATGCCTCTCAGATTCCTCAGCAAATACCTAATTTTATACTGAAGTAGCAGGCAGCAACATAGGTCTGCTGAGCCACAGTCCACCTTCATCCACATCTCAATTCTGTTCATGTGTGGGATTACTTCTTCTGTGTCCTGTGTGTATTGCAGCGACTCACACCCCTCATCAGCACTCTCCTTTTCCCTTCAGGGATCCTGGCAGAGCAGTTTGTTCCGGATGGGCCCCACCTCCACCTGTACCATGGGAATGACTGGATAAAATTAATGAACTGGCAGCACAGTACCATGTATATATTTTTTGCAGTCTCGGGAATCATTGACATGCTCACCTTTCTCAGCACCCAAGTCCCCTTGGGGGTGGACAAACTGGCTATGGCTGTGGCAGCTTTCAATGAAGGTAACTTCGTGGGCCAATGGAAGCAGATTGAAAAGTTATGTGTATGAGGACCAGGGTTCAAAAGAAAATACTGCAAATAATACTGCAAATAACCAATAATTCAAAGTTAAAAATCCAAATCTTTTAATTTCACGTACCTAAACAGGAACTTGCTTCTCTGCTCTGGATGGTACAGGTTTATTCCATAAAGCAGAACATGAAAAAGGGCTTTTAGTCAAAGCCTCTGCTAATAGTGTACGAATGCTTTCTCCCTTCCCGGTGTTATCCCTACTCATACTCACATTTATGAATGTGCATGTGCACATCCCCATGGAAACATGTGGTGGTTTGTCCACCATGCAAGATCATGACTCTTCAGTAGGGAAGAGAAATCTTGCATCCCTGCCCCCTAGCCTGGTGTGTTGTCTGGACTCCATCACAAATCTCAAAGAGACTCATCCAGCAGTAGCACAACCTCCCAATAGAACTTCTATTAAATGTGATAATGAAAAAGCATTTTATGATGTACCAGCCTCACTTCTGTACCTTGGTAAGAGCTGAAAAAGGTTGAATGAGGGTAAAACTGAATTTCAATACATATACACATAATTTGTCAGAGATGCGTATTCCATCCTGTATCAAATCCTACCACAGATTCTATTTTAAAAGATATATCCTTTGCATGTGGAGAAAAAGGAACTCTCCTGCACTGCTGGTGGGAATGCAAACTAGTACAACCACTATGGAAAACTGTTTGGAGGCTCCTCAAACTGCTAAACATGGAGCTTCCCTACGACCCAGCAATCCCACTCCTAGGTATCTACCCAAAAGACACAA